GAGGGAAAGAAATGGGGAGAAACGGCAAAGGAATGTTGGGAAGGGGATAACGTGGAAAAAAGCTGGAAAAACATGGATAAAAGCTGTAATAATATGGACAAAACCTTCAAAAAGAGGGATAAAAGCTGCAATAATAAATGAAATTAAAAGTAAAATAAAGTAAAATAAAATAAAATAAAATAAAATAAAATAAAATAAAATAAAATAAAATAAAATAAAATAAAATAAAATAAAATAAAATAAATATAAAATTTTAAAATATATAAAATCGACCTTCCTGAGCCGTTTAGGGGACTCCCAGTGCTCCCAGTGGCTCCCAGCCCGGCAGTGGGAGCACCGCGAGGAGTTCCAGCCCTTTTCCCTCCGCGTGCCTCAGTTTCCCCGCGTGTCCCCATCCCAAATCCATTCCAAGGGATCCCAGTCCCGCTCCCGGAGCCACTTGGTGGCACTGTGGGAGAAGATTTCGCCGCTCGCTGCCGGATCCAGGAGAATTCCAGGATCATCCAGGAACACCCAGGGAAAGAGCTCCAGGATCACCGAGTCCAAGCTGTGTCCGATCCCCCCTTGGTCATCCCGAGGAATCTCCAGGAATTCCCCGGACACCTCCAGGGGTGGCCACTCCAACCCTCCCTGAGCCCCTTCCAAGGCCTTTTCCCTTTTCCAGGAGGAATTTACCCAGATTTCCCACCCTGAGCCTCCCCTGGCACAGCTCGAGGCTGTTCCCTCTTGTCCTGTCCCAATTCCCTGGGATCAGATCCCAAATCCCCCTGGCAGATCCCAAATTCCCCCTGGATCCCCCTTTTCTCCAGGATCAGCTCCCTCAGGATCCTCCATTCCCTTTTCCAGCTGCTCCAGCCCCGTTCCCACCCCTGGCCCCGCTCCAGCCCCCCGGACCAGCCCCAGTTCCCATCCCAACATCCTCATTCCTCTCCTTTTGTTTCCCCTCCCTCCCCACCCCTCTCACCAAACCCGTTCTGAGCCCCGGGCGTGGCTCTGGCACCGCCTGAACCCCAACCCCTGTGGGGTAAAAATAACCAAAATCACCAAATTTACCAAAATAACCTTTCCTGCCCAATTCCTGCCCAATTCCTGCCGGGGGTGTCCATGGGAGAGGCCAGGAATTCATTCCGGAGAAAATCCTCATTAATGAGAAGAAAGCAAATAAAGATGGAGGAATGGGGTGAGGGGCGTTTCAGGGGCGTCCCCTCTGGAATTCCCAGGCCGGAATCCCGATCCTATAAAAGACGGATTCCCTGTGCTGGTTTGGATGGGATATCCAGAATTCCCAACCCTCCCCTGGCGTGTCCACAGCTGAGATCCCCCAGAACTCATCCCAAAATTCCCCACTCTGGGCCCGATCCGGGGAATTCCGAGAGCGGCGCGCTGGGAACCCCAAATCCCCGTGGGGCGGTTTGTGGCTTCTGGTTTGGGATTTCTGATTCAGAGCTGAGGCCGCTGTGGGATTCGGGGCCGTCTCGGGGGTGACGTCGGAGGTGGCACCGAGGGCTCCGTGCCCTGCGTGTCACCGACCTCAGACGAGGTGTGGGGACCTCGGCCGGGCCCCGATGGCGCTGATTGGGGACAGGTGACAGATGGGGACGGGGACAAACAGGATGAGCGGCGGGGTGAGGAGTCCTGGCGCTCCAGCCCGGAATGAGCCCCGCTGACCTCATCCCACTGCTCGTCCACATCCCGCCTGGAAAAGTGTCCCAGGACAACCCGAACCCAGGTGGGACAAATTCCACAGTCCCAAGCGGGTCCAGCCTGGCCTTGGACACTTCCAGGGATGGGGAATCCATGGAATAACCTGAGCTAGGGAAGGATTTATCCCTAAAATCCCATCCCAACTGGCCAAGGGAATCCTGGAATGGTTTGGGGTGGAAAGGAACCTTAAATCCCAAAAATCCCACCCCACTTCCATGGGCAGGGACCTTTCCCCTATCCCAGGTGTGTCCAGCCTGGCCTTGGGCACTTCCAGGGATGGGAAATCCATGGAATCACCTGGGACCCTCACAGGGAACAATTCCTTCCCAAAATCCCACCCAAATTCCCCTCCTGTCCCCCTGACCCCATTCCCGGTGCCCTGTCCCTGCAGTTCCTGAGGAAAATTCCCTCTCCAGCTTCCCTGGAGCCCCTGCAGATCCTGGAGGGGCTCTGGGGTCTCCACAGGCTCAACATTCCCAACATTCCAGCCTGGATCCACTTCATGGCCTCCTCTGGACTCGCTCCAACAATTCCAGGTCCCTTTTATTTTGGGGACACCAGAACCTGGCACAGAATTCCCAGTGGGATCCCACCAGAGCTGAGCAGAGGGGGAGAATCCCCTTCCTCACCCACCTGCCCAAATCCCTTCGGATCCAGACCAAGGAACGGGGCGGATTCTGCTCCTGGTGGGTCAGGAGAAGCATTTTTTGGGGAAAACCCAGCAGGAAAAGGGGGTTCAGCACTGCAGGACGTGCCTGGAGCCTCGTTGCCTCATCCCGGGAATGTCACCAAGTCCCAGGAAAGCGCTCCCGAGGCCAGGGACCTTTTCCAAGGCGGATTCCCGAGGCTCCCGCGCAGCCCCAGCCCCTGGGGTGGGGATTCCAGACAGTTACAGGCCACTAAACCCCCCCTCATTTGCATAATCACCCCAAAATCCACCCCAAAATTACAGCGTCCCAAGGGTGTCATTATCGCCCAGGCGGGGCCTAATTTGCACCAGGGTAATTTAATCCAGGAAAAAAAAAAAAAAAGCCCAAAAATGAACGTTGGGGACAAATCCCTGGGCTGAGTGTCCCCGAGGTTATTAATTAGCCAGCGTTAATTAATTGGGCTCCTACACCCAGGGTGAGCCACGGGCGAGGCTGCGGGACGAGTTCCTGCTCTGAGGTGGCCCCCGTGATGTCCCCGTCACCTCGTCCCCCCTCCAAACCCCAAATCCAGGCTCTGGAATTTTCCAGATTTCCTCCAAGTGTTGGGAGAGTTCCTGGGGAATAAAGGAAGAGTTAATTAATTTGCCGTCTGAAGATTAAATTAAAAAATAAGGAGATTGTGAGGTAATTACGGCCCGAGGGCAGCCGGAGGAAATTCAGCATTAATCGACCTCTCAGCAGAGGTTTCTGCTTTTAGTTTTAATTAAATTCGAGTCAAGTTGAAATTAAAATAGTCCAATTAATATTAGAAGTTTTATCGTGATTTTTCTCAATGAAAAGTCATTAATTGATTGCAATTTCCTTGTTCAAAAATCCGTTTAAAAATTCATTTAATCTTTTAAAAATGGCTGTGGTTGGTTTATTTTTTATATTGGACAATATGGCCAAATACTCATTAATGAGAAGTAAAAATAAGAATAAAACTCTACAGGGGTGTCCCATGAGCCAAAATCAAGAGGATTTGGGGAATCTCACCCAGATTTTAGGGCCAAAATCTTCCTCCCTTTTCCTGATCCAAACCTCAGTGACCTCAGGCTTGAAATTCCAAAGGAAATGCACAAAAAAGAGACAAAAATCCCCTCTGGAATTGTGGGACCAATTGCGTGGGTCATAAAGATCTTGATTGTCCTTGATCTGCTCATCCTGAGCTCTGCTGCCATCAGCACTTAAATTTCCTTTTAATTTAATTTAATTAATTTAATTAATTTAATTTAAATATTAATTCCTATTTTCATGTGGTTTTGCAGGCATTAAAGACATCAACTCCCACCCATAACACAAATATTTACATTAAAATCCACCCTCCTCCATTTACGCTCTGGAGCCCTTCCAGATTTCCCCAAAAAATCCGAAACGCCGCCATAAAAGGATTTTACAGCCAGGATTTTCCAGGATTAGGCGGAACCGGCCTGAAGAGCCGCTGCTATTTCGGGGTGAAAATGATAGGGAAGGGTTGATAAAGCCAAATAACCCGTTTGGGACTGGGCTTGGCCCAGGATGAATCAGGACAACGTCCACGAAGGGTGGCTCCTCTCCAACCCCAACGGGGACCCTATAAAAGCAGCCCCGTCCTCCCCTCGCTCCGCACGGCTTCCCAGGAATCCCACTCGATCCCGCCGGTGACTTGGGTGAGTGGCTCCCTCGGGAATGCTCCCTGTGCCGGGAATATTCCCTTTGCTGGGAATTTTGGTGTTTCTCCGGGATTCGTGGTGGACGGGAGAGTCGTTCCCGGCGTTTTTTGGGAATGTCAAGGGTTTTCTCCCTGTTGGAATTGTTGGGTTGCGCTGTCCTTGAGGGAAGGGAGTATGGGAGAAGTTCGGGGACTTCCTTGGGTGGGGGCTCAGCTCCCAGCCGGAACAGTGGCCCCTTCTCCATGGAAATTCCAGCGTTTCCATGGGGCAGGGAGTGCTCGTGTGCCCGGGCACGTTCCGGAGGCGGGAATCGGGCACGGCGCAGCTCTCGGGATCAGATCGGGCGCGGAGGTTCCCGATAGGAGGCTTGGGGATCCCACAAGGGAGGAAGGAGGGAAGGAGGAAGCTTTGGAGGTTTCCAGACGCAGCTTTTGAGGTCTCTGCCCCAGATCTTGTCTTGGGTTGGGTTAAAGCTCCTCTCACCAGGATCACAGGGATGGATCTTGGAAACACCAAGAGGTCCTGGAATGAGGCCATGGAGATGCTCCAAGGGCTGGGGAAGGTTGGGAGAGCTGGACGGGTTCACCTGGAGAGGAGAAGCTCCGTGGAGACCTTAGAGACCTCCTTGGACAGCAGAGAGGTTGGACTGGTTCCATTTAGGGTCCACTCCAAGGAAATATTCCATGGGATAATCCCACGGGGCAGGATCTGGGGGCACCTCTTGAGTCAGCACCAGCGGGTCCCTCCCCGTCACCGCATCCCCGTCACCATTCCCGCTCCGACGTCACCCAAACGCGTCAGTGGCGAAGCCAGAGGCCACTCCCCATCCCACTAAAACCCTGGAATGTGTTCCCAGCAGGGAATGCAGAGTCAGGAATTCTCCTCCCTCTTCCCAAGGGGATCCCCCAGCCCTAGGTCTGCTCCTGTCCCTTGCAGGCTCGCTCGGATCTGCAGGATGTCCCCGTTCTTGGACAGCATCGCCACCATCGTCGGCGTCTTCCAGCAGCACGCCCGGGGAGATGGGGACGGCTCCGGGCTCAGCCGCAGGAGGATGAGGGAGCTCATCCAGAGGGAATTTGCAGATTCCCTGGTGGTGAGCACTGAGGGGAAGGGCTGGGATGTGGGAATGGCAAAATCTCCTCTGGAAAGGGAACGGGGAGGGTTCCACCAAAGGCTGGGTTCATTTGTGCCGGGGAAGGGAGTGGAGAACCCTGAGGGAGCTGGGAGGGCTCAGCCTGGAGGAAAGGGGGATCCAGGGGGAATTTCGGGGAATGAATTCCCACAGGTGGTGGTGAGCCCTAAAAGTGAAATTATGAGAGACGGAAGGAGAATTCCTGCGACTCTTCCCTTTTTTGCATTTCTCCCCCAAGGAGCAGAAAGACAAAAATCCCCTTTTTTCCCCGGCGTCTTTTTTCCCTGCAGAAGCCACACGACCCTCAGACCATTGAGAAGATCCTGCAGTTCCTGGAGTGGGATGGGGACGGGGACATCGATTTTAATGAGTTCCTCCTCCTGGTGTTCCGGGTGGCCAAGTGCTGCTTCTGGTTCCAGTCGAGGGCCCCGTTCCTGGTGCAGAGGACAAAGCTCCCAACCGGAGGAAAATCCCTCCAGGAGCCGGAATTCAGGAGCAGAGGGAGCCGCCGGCAGTTCCAGGAGGAGGAACAAACCTGGGAGAGGAATCGTGAAGCTGAGCTGCAAGGAGACGTCAGGGTCGGGGAGGTGGAAATCTCAGAGGATGCAAGGAGGGATCAGCAGGAACGTCGCACGCGGAGCAGGAAGGATGTGGAACCACGCGGGGAGCCGATCCCTCGGGAATACCGGGAACGGAGCCAGGAGCCATGCGAGCAGCGGGAGAGCCGGAGAAGGCGGCAGCCCCCGGAGCCAGACAGACGGGAGGGAGAGAGGAGAGACCGGGAGGGGCCCCGGGAGGAAGAACTGGCAGACGTGAGGACGGGCAGGCAACGCCAAGAACCCCAAGCACGGCCGGACCGGTGGAGCCGCCAGGAGCCAGGGCGTGATGAAAGAACCCAGCGGCCACGAGGAGCAGATGGAGAAGGTGACAATCGGCCACGGGAACCCGAATTGGTCCGGGAAGAGAGGAGCCGCCACCGCCGGCGTGAACTGGAACAAAGAGAGCTGGAAGGGAGAAGCTGCCGGGCGGCTGAGCTGGAATGTCCGGAGTCCAGGCGGCCACATCAGTCGTACCTGGAGGAACCGTTAGAGATTGACCTCGGGGAGTGTGGGAGAGCAGAGCCAGAGGAACGTGGCTACGGACAGAGAACAAAGCGGGAACGAGAGCTGGAATCTGTGGAAAGGGAAAGGGAGATCCGGGAGGAGCAGGAGAGGGAAGAAAGAGATGATCGCAGAAGAAAAGGGAGAATGAGAGAGAGGAGGGTGGATCAGGAACGGGAGCTGGAGGTGGACGTGTCTGAGCGCCGCACATGGGAGAGACGAGAGCGTGAAATTCGTGAGATTGAAGATGATGGAAGGAGACAGAGAGAACCAGTGAGGTATGAAAGGGAGAGAGAGATCTCAGTGGCAGCAGCAGAAGCCGACATCAAAGTGCACCGTGAGATCCGGGAACGAGGTGAGGAGCTGAGACGGAGAGAACGTCCCTGTGAGGATGAGGAGGAAGCAGAAACAGAGAGGAGAATTTCCCGGGTCAGAGAAGAGGCTGCAAGGAAGAGGAGAATCGATCGGCAACGGGAGCTGGAGGTGGAGGCCTCTGAGCGCCGGACACGGGAAAGGGAGGCAGAAGTGGCCAGAGTCAGACAGAGAGAGACACGGGAGAGACGAGAACGTGACATTCGGGAGGCTGAAGTAGATGCCAGGAGAGAACAAGAAGTGTACGACAGGAGAAGAGAGATCTCAGTGGAAGCAGCAGAAGCCGACGTCAAAGTGCGCCGTGAGATCCGGGAACGGGAACCACGAGAGGAGCTGAGACGGAGAGAGCGTCCCTGTGAGGATGAGGAGGAAGCAGAACCAGAGAGGAGAATTTCCCGGGTCAGAGAAGAGGCCCTGAGGGAGAGGAGAATTGATCGGCAACAGGAGCTGGAGGTGTCTGAGCGCCGGATACGGGAAAGGGAGGCAGAAGTGTCCAGAGTTGGCCGGAGAGAGACACAGGAGAGACGAGAGCGTGACATTCGTGAGGCTGAAGTAGATGCCAGGAGGGAACAAGTGTATGACAGGAGAAGAGAGATCTCAGTGGAAGCAGCGGAAGCCGATGTCAAAGTGCGCCGTGAGATCCAGGAACGGGAACCACGAGAAGAGCTGAGAAGGAGGGAACGTCCCTGTGAGCGTGAGGAGGAAGCAGAACCAGAGAGGAGAATCTCCCAGGTCAGAGAGAGGGAAGAGGCCGTGAGGGAGAGGAGAATCAACCGTGAACAGGAGCTGGAGGCCTCTGAGTGCCGCAGCCGCCGGACACGGGACAGGGAGGCAGAAGTGACCATCACTGACCAGAGGGAGGCACGTGATGAGATCAGGCTGGAGGTCCTGGAGGAAGAAGATGAGGAGGAGCTGGAGCAGGGCCAGTGCCGGTACCAGACCCTGGACGTGGACACCGGCGATCTCTGTCCCCCAGGACAGGAGGTGCCCGTCAGTGACCTCAGGGTCCGGTACCGCCCCGCTGACCCCGATGTCCGGCCCGAGGTGCGGCTGCTCCCCGAGCCCGTGGAGCCTCAGACCGTCGCCTACTTGGTGCACGTGATCCAGAACCTGGAGGACCCCAAGGCCGCTACCTACGAGATCGTGTGCCACCAGCCCGGCCAGCGGGGCCAGCCCGTGTGTGTCCGGACCTGCTCCGTGTCCCCACGGCCACCGAGCGACCGCCAGGGCCACCCTGAGGCGCCGCCATCCAAATGCCAGGAAAACCGCGAGGTTCTGGATGAGCCCCGGGAAAGATCCGGAAAAGAAGTGAAGGACGGAGCCCTGCGGGATTCGGCTGAGCCGGAGGCTGTGAAAGGCGAGCGGGTGAAATCCAAGGAGATCCGGAGGCGCCCCGAGATCCCTGAGGTGGAGCAGGATCAGCCCCAGGGTGAGGAGCCCCAGAAGGTCCCACGGGAGCCCGGATCCGGCTGCCAGCGGAGAGAGCGCGAGGACAGCGAGGCCAGGAGCTGCGTCCCCCCGGAATGTCGGGATGCGGAGCGGAGAGACCCCGGAGAGAGCCGCAGAGAGGGAATCCAGGAGGCTCAGGAGGCTCCTGAGGAGGAACCCAGCAAGAGGAGCCCCCGGGAACCCGGCAGCTCCCAGGTTTCTCGGGAAGGTGGCACCAAGCAGGGCCAGGAGCCCCCGCAGGAGGCCCCGAGCCGCCCCAGGGATGAATCCAAGACATCCTGAGGGGAATCCGCCTCTCCCTGGAGCCTCTCCAGGTCCTTTTGAGGGTCACTTCTGCCCCCCATTGCCAGCTTGGCAAGCGGTGGCCCAGCAGTGATGGACTCAAAAGGATCCCGGGGTGTCCAGTGGGGTTTGGGGGCTTTTCCCTGGAATTAATCCTCAGCAGAAAGCAAGATCCCCCCGGATCCGGAGTTTCCACCTCCCTGCTGGGTGTATCCCTCCATATTTAATCATTTCTTCTGCTCTAATTGGAGTCCTTGGGTCCCTCTGTCCTCTTTTGCACCCTGGCGTGTCACTTCAGGTCCCCCCGGGCACAGGGCTGGGCTGCTCTCAGCTTCTGCCATTAAACTCCAAAAAATTCCTGATTTTGGGGCCTGGAAATCCCCAAGGCTGGGGGAAAAAAAATCACCTTTTTAACCTCGATTCCAGCAGAATTCCAGCTCCAGGCCCCGGGGGTTTGGAGCCACAGGGTGCTGGTGGTGGGTGGGGGATTCTCCTTCTCCTCCTTTTCCTTTTCCTTCCTTTTTATCGCATGGAAAATGGGAATAAACGGTTGATTCCTGCAGCAGCTCCGAGCGTTACTTTCCGGAGGGCTGGGAGGGTTGGGAGGGGGGCCCAGCTGGGATCAGGCATTCCCAGTTCAGGTCAGGCATTCCCAGCTGGGATCAGGCATTCCCAGTTCGGGTCAGGCATTCCCAGTTCAGCCCCCAAACTCCTCCTAATCCCAAATCCCACCCAATCCCCATTCCCACATCCTGCTCCAGGCTCCAGGGGCTCCCCAGCTGGGGACAGGACAGGACAGGAACAGGGACAGGAACAGGAACAGGAACAGGGACAGGGACAGGCTCCTCCAGCCCTTCCCTCATCCGTGACACTGACAGAGCTCAGTGATGGGGGCAGGAACAGGAACAGTGACACTGGCAGGGCTCGGTGGCAATGCCAGGGGCAGGAACAGGAACAGTGACACCTGCTCCAGGCTCTCCCAGAAGACTTTTTTGAGGAAACTTCCCCCCTTTTCCCCCAACCTCCCCGTTAAGATTTTTGGGATTTCCCCCCACTCCCATGCCCGAGGACGACTCCAGGGATATCCCAAGCGGCAAACCGGGATGGGGCAGGATTTGGGAATGCCCGCAAAGCCCCAGACCGGGCCGGGCACATTCCAGGGGCGCGGGAGGAGCCGGCTGCCCCTGGAAACGAAAATTGCCCAACGCGTCCGGGGCTGACTCAGCCCGGGCGGGGCTCTGGAACTTTCCCCGAGCTCTTTTTTCCCGATCCTACAACTCCAAACCGGAGCGGAGCCGCCGCGTATCCCAGCCATGGTGAGGGATTCCCGGGAATTTGGGGGGAGGAGAATGGATCGGGAGCGAGGGAAAAGGAGATTTTCCTGCGAAACGCCCCAAAATCGGAGTGGGAGGGGATAGGGCGTGGTCCCAAGGGAAGGAAAGAACAGGGGGAAGAAACGGGAAAATGGGGGAAAACAAGGAAAAAAGGGAAAAAATGGGGGGGGGGGGGGGGGGGGGGAAAAAAAGGGGGGGAAAAGGGGGGGAAAAGGGGGGAAAAGAGGG